TGCTTTTCTTCTACATCAACTACTTGCTGCTTATCACTTGTTTCCAGCCCCTCGTGTTAAGTCATGTTCTTTTCTTTGCCACCACAATAGATGATCCTCTTCGTCTCACCATGCGATGGACCTTACATGTTTGTTTAGGAGGGCAGCCCCTATGCATATTGTAGGAAGTCTGAAGAAGCGACATACACTCCAAGTGCAGTTGAATTGCAGACTTTCCTTCCTCCAATACGCCAAGCATTATATTCGAGCTGATGATGAAGTGCGACGAATAGAACCGCCTGAGTACAACAAGGCGGTGGCAGACTGGGCTTCGCGATGCGCTGGACCAATTGTTCGATTCGTGATCACTACAAATAATCAAGGAATTTGGTCGAAGACCCGACACCTTCAGTTTGACTTTCCAGCATACGAGCTTGGGAGGATAAGGTTGGATTTACGATCAATATGTACTTAGAAGCAGCCATCGCTATGGAGCATAAGGTAGATGGCCAGCATAACAGGACCCACCTCAACCCCTGATCGACGTGCGCAGGACACCGCGCGTCAGTCGTAACGGCAGGGACACTCGGCTTGTGAGACACCTTGTGTGTCGACGCCAATGCCTACTTTCGTTGGCGAAAAGACGTCCACAATTCATATTCAGCATCATTCTTTGAAGACAGCATCACCCTTTGGCTGAATTAGAGCATACCACATTATCCCCGACATCTGAAGTAAAAATAGCATTGTAATCCGGCAACCATGGCTAGTACGTCACGTCGCGCCACTTACTTCTCCAGCGTACACTCACTCACACTGTCCCAGGCTTTCTCAATACTTCCCAGAGCCTCACTCACATCACCCCAATCCCGTCCCCCGCCACACGCACTGATGCTATTGCCATGCTCCACGACCACGAGCACGTTATACAGTGCTCCCCCGCTATGTCCAAGTTTGAACTCATCACGAGCCCTTCTCCTGCCCCGCTGCCCGCGGGCATCACGCCCCTCGGCGACACCAAGTGCTATCAGGTCACAGACATCGTCCACGCGTTGCCCGCGGGTCTTTGGGACTCGGACATTGTCAGTACCTACGAGTTTACGAACCTCGCCGGTGGGCTTTTCGTGCGGATTCGGAGTCCCATGGGCATCGTGCTCGAGACTGTGTGGACCATTGAGGGCGAGGGCGAGGGGCCGGAGATGAAAGAATTTGTGACGATCAAGTGCTCAAGGCTTCTCGTGGGGACCGTCAAGGGGCAGTGTGAGGGCAACTGGAAGGTGATTCATGCCAAGATGGTTGCAGGACTTGGGAAATGAGTCTTGTGTTGTTTGCAGTCGTCATGCCTGTCTGTCCGTCTGTTTTGTGAGCGAAGGTGATGTGCGACTGAATGAGAGTACTACTAGAGACGATATTGGTACAGTCCATCGTTTTGATGTGAGGAAACCATTCTCGAGAATGAAGGGCCCAGGTGAGGAATCATAAATGATATGGCGCTGGAGTCGATGTCGTAACTTGCCATGGCTCGAATTCGGCGCGCAGTTGAACCGCCAAGACGATGCCGAACAAGATTATGAGCTCGTCTTATTCGAATCGGTCTGTTCAATTGAAATGGCGGGAAGCTTGTTGGTCGATCGAGCAGCAAGCGACATGACTCCAGCGTCAAAGTGCTACGGGTTTAGGATCAAGCTAACCAGCCAAAGTCCTTTGCACGGATTTTGGCAATGAGGCTGCAGCAGCGACGATGTCTCGTGGGTATGAAATCGCAGCTCTATGCAAAACCTTGGACGCAACAAATGGTCCAGATATACTATTCGACGCGAGCCCCCGTTTTTGGCATCTGAGTGTTCTGCCACTGGGCTGGTGTGGGCTGGTGGATGACGTAAGAAACTGTTGTATCCAAAGTCTTTCTCGCACTTTGGTGCCCCACCAGACAAGGTGCCTGTACCACGAAAGATCAACGTACGCCAGCGTCGATTGCGCCGATAAGATAACGCCCGTCTTGAGGGGTCCCAATCGAAAAATTTCCCAGCGCATCCCGAGAGCTTCGTCACCAACACCCACGGCGCCCAGCACCACCACACAGATACAATGGCTCCATACGTGACGCCCACCGCTGCTGAGCTGGAGAAGCGGAACGTGAGTTGTCACAAGAAATCTGCATAACGAGCTGTTACTGATTGCGCCTGCGCTATTAGACAGTCAGCATTGAAAAAGAGGTCGTCTACGATGTAGCCTCCACCGACTTCCCCGGCAACTATCCTGGTGAGGATAACAGCTGGTCGCTCGACACGTTCCGCGAGAACTTTCGCGTGCGTTATCACCAACTCTCTCCCTCCGAGTCATCCTTCTCCCTCATTGGTGTCGACGCCTCCATCGCCAATGCGCTCCGTCGCATCCTCATCTCCGAAATCCCCACCCTCGCCATCGAGACGGTTTACATCTATAACAACACCTCAGTCATCCAGGACGAGGTCCTAGCACACCGTTTGGGTCTCGTTCCCTTCACAGCCAACAAGGCAGGCCTGCGCGACTTCCTCCGCTGGCGAAAGAAGAACCCCGACGGCACCCCCGGCGACATCTTTGACTACAACACTGTCCAACTTCGACTCCGTATCGAGTGCACGCGCAACCCCGACGCCGCGCCCGGCGAGATCGACTCGACCAAGGCCTTCCGCAATGCCCACGTCCACGCCTCCGACATCGAGTATGTGCCCTCGGGACGCCAGCTCGAGTACTTTGACGGGCCGCTCAACACTGTTCGCCCTACGAACCCGGACATCCTCCTCGCCAAGTTGCGTCCCGGCCAGGTCCTCGAGATGGACATGCACATGCACAAGGGCATCGGCTCCGACCACGCAAAGTTCTCGCCCGTCGCCACCGCCTCCTATCGCCTTCTCCCCACCATCACCATCACCCGCCCCATCCTGGGCGCCGACGCCGACAAGTTCGCCCGCTGCTTCCCCGCCGGCGTCATCGGCATCGAACGCGTTTCTGCCGATGAGGCCCGCACACCCGGCTCCGGCTACGAGGGCCACGAGGGCGAGCGCAAGGCCGTCGTCCGCGACGCCATGAAGGACACCGTCTCGCGCGAGTGCCTGCGCCACGCCGAATTCCAGGGCAAGGTCAAGCTCGGCCGCCGCCGCGACCACTTCATTTTCGCCATTGAGGCCGCCACTGGTCAGTGGGACAGCGACGAGCTGCTTCTCGAGGCCATCAAGACGATGAAGAAGAAGTGTGCGCGTCTCGAGCAGCAGGTCATCAACATGGTCAGGTGATGCATGTACGGGGCTTTGATACAGGTGGCGCGGCGGGACCCTTATTGTACATACCCTTTCTTTTTTACAGGTAGAAATCCGGTGTTTTGCTTGTTTTCTGGCATGGGGAATGGATTGGATTTAGGAAGACCAAAATAAATCATGATACCAACGTCCCATCGTCATATCGTCCAGGCCCTGTCTCGGGAGGGAAGTCATTTCGTCATATCATCTATGTGTAGGTGTCCCATTCCACGCGCAGCGCAAGACCCTCCTCAAGCGTTCTGGTTGAACCGCAGGAAAAAGTTGAACTCCAGAGGGAACGCGGGATCAGTCACCACTACGTTCTGCCCATCCACAAGCTCGAGCTCCTCCAGAGTCTTCTCGAGGTTCGGCCTCGTCTTCTCCTCCAGCGACGGAGGAAACTGCATGTACAGTGTCTTGCCCTCGCCTCGGAGGGATGGCTTCTTGAGCTGCGCCTCAGGCCGCACTGCCAGCGAATCCACCAGCTCTTGCAGCGTCATCGTCGGCTTGACCTCCAGTGGCCGTGCCTGCTGGCCGCACACGGGACAGTCGTCCTTCTTCTCGTGCTTAAAAGTGTATGTGTAGATGCTGTCGTTGCCAGAGTACATCATATAGTTCTCTTCCATGCCGAGCGGAGGCGCGGCCGAACTGGCAAGCTTGAATGCCTCGTTGCAGCAGGCGGCGGCAATAATGGCATTTGTGGAAGCAATGGCGGGTATGATGTTCTTCACAACGCCTTGCGTTGATGCGTACGTCACGCCTGTGATGTTGAACTCGTTTGCGCGCGCGAGTGCCTTCTGGTACAGCCATGTGATGTGTTCCGGGTCGTCCTTGTCGAGCTGAGGGAAGGGCCTCTCTTTTTCCCACGCAATGACGTGCGCCCACTCGATGCAGTGCTCTGGCTGACGGGGAATGGAAGCGATGGTGCAGAGCGGCACAGCTGCTCTCGGCGCGTGCATGTCGAGCTGGCACTCGATGCAAGATGTGATGGAAGGCACAATGACACGCGCCTGTCCCTTGAAGCCCTCGGTGCCGCCATCAATCATGGGGATCAGGCAGTCTGCGTCCTCTCCCTCCTCGGCTATGGACACCAACATGGCGTTGATCCACCTCCGTGCTTCAATGCTGTCCAAGCCGCAAATAACAAACTGGAACTGCTTGTAGAAGTCGGTGTCGAAGTCCTGGATACGACAGCTGTGTGCCGTGATGTTGACGCCCTTGACTCTTTTCATGACAAACTCGGCTGCGATATCTGCCTTGTACTTGCCAACGTCAGACTTTCGAAAGAGGAATTGTCGGTTGAGATTCGAGATGTCGATTGTGTCTGCACGGAGGTCAGCCAGGCGTCCCGGGGCTTTCATCCTCACGGAGCACCTTACCCATATCAATCACGTGTATGTCTTTGAACTTGGACATGGCGAGGTTTTTGAGAATTTCGCATCCCAAACCTCCCGCACCACTACTTGGGGTTAGCAATTGGACAGGGAAGTGCATGCCGGGTAACGAACATAACCCTGTACAGTTGTTAGCATAGTACGACGACCTCGAGCGCAAGTCGTCACGCACAAGACTTTGATTTGGTCGAACTGGTCGATCGCCTCTTGCGTACCAGCAATTGGATCGGTGAAGGGCCCGGGGTTCTTGCGGATGGTGTCGAGGTAGGTCCTGCGACGGAACCGTCAGCTCCAGTTTGAGCAGATCAGACCGCGGGCGCATACCATCTTGCTGTTTCATCAACTGGCCTTGAAGCCACTACAGCTTGTGCCATATTGATCTGAATCTTTGTGTGGTTGGGAAGGGCTGGATGTAATGGCAAAGGCCGATGCTGGTAGTCGCCGCATCTGTAGAGGGGCAGCTCTTGGTGGTTTCGGTGAGCTCATAGCGAACCCCAGCTGATGCAGCTCAGTGAAATGGAGTCATTGCTTATCGATTAGCAATGCGCGCTGTAGGAGGTGGGGCGACTGACATCCCAGGAAGTCACCAAACGCACGGTGCGAATGGTTAACCTCAGTGCCGTTTGACGAAGGAACAGCTAGTCTTTTACAACAAGATACACCGTAAGAGCTGCTTCTTTCCGATATCTGGAGACTGAACCAAAACTTTGCGCAATGATACCCGCGCACGTATCTCAAACACCGGTCAAATCACGAGCCACGCTGGTACACACTATTTCAAATAAGCTATGGACGATTTCTTGACGCCAGTCAGCCAGACATATCTGAAGCCGAGGGCGTCTGGCTCTCCGTTCGGACTCTCTCGGTCGCCCAGCTCCGCTGACGAGGTCAACAAGCTCAAAACCTCGTCTTCGGATGGCACAGTTCTTGAGAAGCTGATGAGCCAACCGGACTATGACACCTTGATCTCAGCCCTCAAGCTGGCAAGTCGCAACGACAAGACCGCAGACCCGACCTCCGAATCTGCCCGGGTCATCCAAGTTCTTGTCTCTGAGATTATCCCAAACTACTGGCCGGTTCTTAGAGATGGAGATGCCGAAGACCTATCCCTTCTGCTGAGATGTCTCCGTAACCTCACGGGTGCCAATGCTCTTGTTGCACGGGTCAAGGCATTGACACAGGAATTCAAGGCTGGTGGACAATCAGTCAAGAGACCCGACATAGCCATGAATCTCGATATTCTGCTTCAAGTCTTCACAAACATCCTCGATGGAGATCTTCAGTTGATGGCGCTTTGGTCATCAGGTCTGCCGCATCTAGATAATCCCGTTCGGAGGAAGGCTATGGCCCATGAGCTGGTAGGCTTCTTCGCTGGCGGGAAGTTAGTTTCCCAGCGCAGCTGAGGCACAATCCATCTTGCAAAAGGAGCTTTCCACTCACAAGAATGCCTGGGTGTCAGATGGATTGCTCTATAGCAAGTGGCTAGGAAGAAGCATTGTGGCTTGGGTATCAAACGGTCCGTCTTCTGATGATGAAAAGCTATGTGCTGAGCTATTTGTTCGCGGACTCCGGCTAGGATACTCGGAGCACTGAACAAACATCTATCCAAGATCTACTCCTAGGTCCGGATGCCAGCACAAACGCCTTCGTGCGTCTTTTTGGCCACTTCTCGCAGCTTGAGCAAAAACGCATGCTTTACGCGGTTGTCAAGTACCTTGCAGACACACACTTGAATCCATTGGGTTCATCCGGGTCCCCTGAGGCGAGAAAGAAAATATCGGCAGCTGCCGGTGTCCTCGGAAAGCTTGTAACGAATAACGATAGCAGAATGAACCATCTCGTCTTATGGCTCACAAATTCTACTGGTGCAGGACTCGGCGAGGCCATCGGCATCCGACGAGCCGTCGTGGCCGTCGTTGGAAAAGACAAGGAGTGCGCAAGTCAGGTCCTAGAGAAGAGTCTCAGTCAATTCGGTGACCAGCTCTATATCAAGCACTCGCCTATGCTACAACAAGAAGGTACCAGTCCAAAAGAGGCCTGCAGCCTACTAGCTGAGCTGACATGGTCTAGCACACGCCCAAGTATTGCTCCTAACAGCGGGTTACGTCCATCGAGCTTCGGCTGTGAAGCTGAAGATGATTATGAGATCCGGAAGTTACCTTCAAACAATCTCGAATCGCTTAAACTCGACTCAGGTGAAGGCTAGACTACTCGGCATGGCAATTGGCGAGGCATTATCTTCATTGTCCGACACGAACCAGAACAAGCTCGACTTCAAGACAGATGAAATGGACAGCGAGGAAGCAAAGTGGTATAAGTCACTGCCCACAATGGCCGACGAAGTCGGGCCAGTCGGAGCCTCTCGTCTCAGCTTCAGCTGTGAAGCCTGAGAGCCAAACTTCAAGCCAGCGCCAGCTAACCCAATTACTCGACCGGGCTTTACCTCCTAGGAACACTGGTTTCATTATCGAAGAGGTCGAAGATTCCTCCGAGAGCGAAGACGATGACCTCATGGTGTACAATAAGCCAGATGACGACGCTGAGGATTCCGACGAAGATGCTACCCTTGTCCGGAGGGATAAGCCTAAAGCTCCCGTGTACATCCGCGACCTTATCACATATCTTCGAGACGACAATAACTATGATAAGCAAAAGTTGGCTCTAGAAACATCCCCTTCATTGATCAGGCGAAAGGCAAACTTCGGCTCCGAGGTCAGCGCTCACGCCGATGAGCTTGCGTCCCAATTAGTAGGTCTTCAGGACAAATTTGACATTGCCAATTTTTACGAGCTCCGTCTACAAAGCATGATAGCTCTCATAGTCGCACAGCCGAAGGTGATGGCTCCCTGGTTCGCCAAGACCCTTTATGATGGCGACTACTCCATTTCTCAACGAGCATCCATTCTCATTGTGCTGGGCCTCAGTGCCAGAGAACTATCAGGGCACGACACCTCGGAGTTCGCCGCTGCCGCTTCATTCCCCTCAAAGCGTCTGCCTGAACGCATGGAGAGGATGTACCTAGAAGAAGCATCTATACATGCAAACCGACTGGAGGCTGGCTCAGGGTCCAATCTGAAAGCGATCCCGGCAACCGCTCTGGATAGCATTGCCCAGAATCTCACCTCTTCTTTCCTCGCTCCTTTGGCGGCCAAAGCCGCCGATGCAGCTACAGGTCCAGACATTCTCAAGCTATCTTCGTTCACCTCGCGCCTTAACGCTCAGGGGCAACCTAAATCGACCGCCAAGCCAAAGCCGCGACTCCGCTCCATCCCCAACACGATTGCCTCCCTGATTGCTACCAACTTCTTCTTCCCCTTGACCGCTCGCCTTCAGCACGCCCTTCGCTCGCCAGCCTCCCATCGGCGCAACGCTCCTCTCTTCCAACCGCACCTTCTTTCTCTGTATCTCAAGACCCTTGCCGTTCTCATACACGCGGCCGGTCCCTCGACCCTTGTCCTCCCGCAGATGACCGCCGAGCTCTGGAATCTGATCCTTGGTCTGCGCGCACAGGCAGCTCCTGATCTTCCCACGACGCATGCCCTGTTGATCGCCCTTGCTGCCTTGTTCGAGGTCAATGCTGCCGGGTCCTCTGATGGCCTTCGCAAGCTCTGTGCCGACATGCCCCGCGAGATCGTTGAGACGCAGGAGTGGGTGTCCGGCGTCTTCAATGGCACCCGCGGCGACGACGGCGGCCAGGAGAATCAGGTCAAGATGCTGTCGGCCGGCGTGCTCATCACGCTGCAAGAAGCCATGGAGCGCCACCGCGCGCTGTTGATGGGAGACATGATTGGGTTCACATAGGATGAGTTCAGAGACCAGATATAATAATAATGTCATTCTAATAGAGCTTCGCTAACGCCTCGCCTGTATTGGTACTCATTCCTGTTATGCTCAGCAGGCCTTCTACGGCATTGGTAGTAAGACAGTATGTGATGGCATGGCGATTGCCCCGGAAGCGCCGACGACATGTCCATGCAGATGATACATGAGAGAGAGAGAGGTCTTTTCCTAGCTCCTTTCTCACCGTCTCGCTCCTTCACCGCCATCGAATCCCGGATTTCGAACAGGCATGGCGGAGAGATACTGGTTCATGAACGCCAGATGCTCACCCAAACTCATCGTCATGCGCCTCAGCTCTTCTTTCACTTCCTCGGCGTCTGCCTGGCCTTGCATGGCCCGGACTGACGGCGGCGCCGGTGCCGGCGGCATGGGCGATTCGTCTTGCTTATTACCTTCTTGTACCGCCGGGGAGGGCCCTGTGTGGACAGACCGCATGGTCTGCGGGGTAAGGAACTCGCCACTGTTGTCCGGGTATGAAGGGCCCGCGAAACCGGTCGTGTCGAGTCGCAGGCCAGAAGTTGTGCTGCTGGCGCCAAGGCTGCTGATGCTGCTGCCGTTACTCGGACGCATGCGGTGAGACATTGACGAGTCGGGACGCGGACCGTCCGTGATGGCGAGGCCTGCGAGACCGTTGGAAAACTCCTCGTTTCCTTTAGGGATAGCGGACATGAAGTTGGAGTCATCAGACACATAGATCGAGGGTTCTCGGTTGGAGGATGGGACGTAGAGAGAGGCGTGACGCTCCAAGTCAAACGGGTTTGCCAGGCTCATCTCCGAGCCAGTGACGGAGGCGACGTCAGAATTGGCCGTTGAAGGGCGGGTGAGTTCTGGCATGCTCATATCGAGGTCAATGAGGCTGCTGACTGATTCACGACTGGCCTGTATGCCGAGTTGAGGCTCAATCTCGCTCATATCGAGATCGATAAGGCTATTGATCGACTCGCGACTGTTGCCCTGACCAGGTGGCAGAGTAACAGTGCCCATATCAAGATCAATCAGGCTGCTGACTGATTCTCGCATGCTGGCTTGAGTACTCGGCCTCGGCACACTAAGGTCCGCTTCTCTGTAGTTAGGCACGGTGAGCGGTTCGGTGGCCTGGTGGAGGAGCTGCGGCCGGTTTGATGAGCCGGGTGTTGTTCGCTCATCGTTGAAGGGGAATCGCGACATCTCGGGATTTGCTGACGCTGGGGCGGCCATGGAAGGGAACTTCCAGTCTCGGGTTCTCCGGTTAGGGTTCACATCTGCCGGGTCACTGAGCGGTGGGTTGCTGTAATCGTGACCCGATTCTCCATGGAGCTCAACTGATATTCGTGGTTCGCCAGCCCTAATTGTGTTCATATCGACATAATTCGACAGTTCGGTCCCGTTTAGTGATGCATCAAGGTCAATGAGCGATTCTCGTACTGCTGTTGCTTGGGCCGAATCGTCTCTTAGGGGCAAATCAGAAGTTGGGGGCGGTTCAGGTAACCCGTAGTAGGCGCGAGAGTTTTCTTCGTAATTCGTGACGGTGTTCGGGTCAAAAACCTTTTCCAGAGGGACTTTCATGGCAGCTAGTTGCCGAGGAGGTGGCCTTCTTCGTGACCTTGGTTTGGATGCTTGAGGTTGCATCATATGACCAGGGTCAAAATCAACGCCAGATCCGTAGACATCGAAGACGGCTTGCGTGTCGGGATCTTGGAACACTTCTTGGTCGAATGCCAAAGTGGTGCTGAAGTTCCACTCGTCGTTGGCAAGGGCAGTCGACGATAGTTCAGACATGTCCATATCTGAAGGACCTTGCGCGCCTCCAGGGGCGAAAAGTGACCTGCGAATGCCGCCCTGAGACTCCCAAAGCTTGTAGCCTTTAACGAGCATGGCGAGGCTCGAGCCGGGATATTGCTGTGCCGAGTTGCGAATGTATGGGTGATCTTGCACTTGTTCAATGGTTGGACGCTTCTTAGGATCCTCTTGAAGACAAAATGCGACCATGTCCCTCAATTGGCTCGAGTATTGGTCACCTTGTAGCCGAGGCGCGTGCGACTTGAGGTGGTTTCCAAGCTGGTACATATCAAAGCCAGCCATGACATTGGGCGGCAGGCCTGAGGCTACCTCGTAAACCAACGATCCAAAGGCCCAAATATCAACCTCGGTACCATAGGAAGTATTCTGGTCAAAGAGCTCGGGTGCCATCCAGTGCGGCGTACCAATGAAGGTAGAACGCTTGTCGAACTTGGTCTCAATGATACCTGCGACGCCAAAATCGCACAATTGCACACCCCCAGTCTCGGTAATCAGGACGTTGGCGCATTTGATGTCGCGATGAATGATGCCTTGTCGGTGAACCCAAAATACTGCTTCCGAAACCTCCCGTAAAATAGGGATGATCCATTTCTCCTGCAGACCACCGGGTGCAGTTGGTCTCATGAGTGTCGCCACGCTACCGCCGGCGCAATACTCAGTAATCATCCACATGGATTGGCCGACGGCGAGCGCATCAATGACGACGTTGATATTTTTGGCGCCACTGTCACTGAGGAGCTTGAGAGCGTTGATCTCAGCCATGACCTCCCGAAATGTGTCGGCAAGCTTGGGGTTCTGGGTGTCGCTCTCTTCAATATCGATGATCTTGACAGCGACAAGCATCTTCGTCGCCAGATCAGTTGCCGTGTAAACACGCCCGAAGCTGCCTTTTCCGATAAGCTCTTTCAGCAGGTAGGGAGGCGAATCTTTGCCAGTTTCGGCTGACTGCTTGTCTACAGTTGCTTGCATCTTCTTCGCATCCTCAAAGGCTTTCCGCTTGATGTCCGGCAACCAGGACCCACGTGGTTGGAGAGTCGCCATGATGATAGGTGGTAGCCCAATCTAGGGCACGCCGCGTAGAAGCACCCAGATGGGGCTCAGATTATTGGTGCCGTCGAGCGGTCAGGGTGCCGGTCCTGATAGGAAATCTCCAGATGATGAAGGTGTCATGTTGAGAGCAGCGTGTTTGAGTTGAGAGGATGAGAAGGTCAGGAGCGCTCAAGCCTCGATGCGACACACAGGGGCACACCGAGTCTCATGGGCCAATCAAGTGAGTCGCCACACGCAGTAAAGGTGGGTCAACCTTCTCATCACACAGACCAAGCATACCTATTACATTCATATCAACTTAGCCAGCATATCAGTCCCTGGCTGGAAGAGAAGGGACCGTCGACGGGACTTTGGTCCTGGTCGTCAATAATCATCATGCAAAACAACATTACTATTGATACCGGGAATATTTGTTGTATGATTTCTTTGAAACTCAGATCGGCGGGGTATACTTCAGTCTTCGCGAGTCAAATGCAGTCTCCAGAGTCAACCTGTCGAGGGGGCATGCGTTCACCCAGTCAGCCAGCGCCGCCACCACGGCTTCTGCACAGTAGATCCCTCTACATCCCTTTCACTCTTCTCGTTTCCCTGCGTCCTATTTTTGAAATCGCGAGGGCTTTCAAATTCCGATGCCTTAATCGACCACAGCCCGAGCTTTTTGGCTTTCGCCTTCGCTTCGGCCGCCTTGTAGATACTCTCCTTGCCACCCCACTCCACGCCGCTCTTGGCTTCATACGTCGTAGCAAGACCTTGCTTTAACATTTCGAGGCCAACATCCTTCTTGATAAAGGGCTGTCTTGTCGATACCGTTGCCACGATGCGATTGTACTGGTCTCGTTTATGGAGATGAGCCCGTACGCGCCGATGGAGGATGTACTTTGAGAGATGAGCTTGTGCCTCCGCAGCGAAGGGTTGACCAGGGCGTCCGAAATGAGGTCCCTCGGGCGCGTCGATGCCGGCCAAACGAATTGAGATCTGGCGAATTGTCAGTGGTTCGTTGCGGCATGCTCCATGCTACACCTACAGTCTCTCCCTTCAGATTAGATCTTCCTTCTGGGATCTTCCGGAGCCATCCCCAGCCTGCGAGTTTCCCTCCTGGTGTGTGATACAAGTGGAAACCATCACCATCTCCCACGCTCGTGACTCTACCCAGGAGGCTTCTTTTGCGGAAAAAGTTCTCTTGGATGCTAGCAGCACCAGCGAAGCGGCGCAAGTAAGATTGGTAGAACATAAAGGCTGCCAGGGAGCCGACGGCGGTCAAGAAGACGGGAGCCCATTCCTTGGCGGCCTGGAGCGGAGGGTCTGGTTTGGGAAGCAAACTATTCCATGACTTTGCTGGCTCTCTGCCCTCGACCTTATCGTCCCTGGGCTTTTGAGGCGGCGGTGCCTCAGATGAGCCAGAGGGTCCAAATGGCCATGGCATGGTTCAGATCTCAGGCAGGGGGGAAGATTTCGACCGTTGTTGGCCTGCTCAAGCAGTGATGGGTGGTCTAGAAGACCAAACAACCCGTCAGTCGGCAATCTGGCTAATCTTTCAAGCAGGCGTAAGTGGTCAAGGGTCGAATGATTGGCGGCACAGCTCAGTTTTTGTTTTACACGATCAAACGGGCGATGGCGAGTGAAGGTGGCTCTGCACGGACATCTCACTGTTAACTGTGCGCAGTGACAGTTTGAACGATAAGATATACTGTACATATTCCAGAGCACAGTGTTGACAAGAGATCATCCATATTCGGTGCCAGACGCTAGTAATAAATCAATGAAATGCGCGCCATAGGCGCAATTGATAGAACACAATACGAAGCCCAATTGAGGGCAAGTCCTGTCTCTTGGAGGTGCTCGGTTTAAGCACATCTTGAAGTGGATCCTGCCAGAAGTGCTTGCTGGCAGTGCGCGAATGTAGGCATTTGGCACGGTCTGTCGGCTCAGACTCGGAAGAACTTGTCGTTGCGCCACTGTCCAATCAGCAGTAGCTGATTTCTTCGACATTGCTAGCTTTCCCGCCAGGTAGATGACGGCCATATCGCACAATACCACGCCGACAACCCCCCATCATCAATCAAGCTCGCCACCGTCAGCGGCATAGTCGAAGAGGCTCAATTGAGGGGGCTCATCTCCTCGATCCTTCCACAAACACCCTCTCCACTCTGCGACCACAATGGCAAGCCTCTATCGCCTCGCCGGCCACAGCGCCAAGCGGTTATGCCTCCGACCAGCCACGACGACCTCCCTCGCCGCCCGCCCTTTGTCTACGACGGCATTCCGAAAATATGCCCAGCCCTCGCCGGAGTTTCAGGGACTCAGGCTCGTGCCCGTCGACACTGACTTCAACCACCCTGCCGATCCCTACGCCGCCGTAAACCACAAGGGCACCGACCATGGCCCGGCGAAAGACGGCATCGAGGACAAGAAGGTCAGGCACTACACCGTCAACTTCGGACCTCAGCATCCCGCCGCCCACGGCGTGTTGCGCCTGATTCTTGAGATCAATGGCGAGGAGATTGTTCGCGCCGATCCTCACGTCGGTCTGCTCCATCGTGGTACGGAGAAGCTCATCGAGTACAAGACCTACCTCCAGGCTCTTCCCTACTTCGACCGTCTCGACTATGTCTCCATGATGACGAACGAGCAGTGCTTCTCGTTGGCCGTTGAAAAGCTTTTGAACATCGAAATCCCCGACCGCGCGAAATGGATCCGCACCCTGTTCGGCGAGCTCACCCGAGTCCTGAACCACCTCATGTCCGTTCTGTCCCACGCCATGGACGTTGGCGCTCTGACACCTTTCCTTTGGGGCTTTGAGGAGCGTGAGAAGCTCATGGTAAGTTACCCTTCCGGCGGAGATACTCGTGAGAACGGTGGATTGACTTGTTGCAGGAATTCTACGAGCGCGTCTCCGGTGCCCGTTTGCACGCTGCCTACGTTCGCCCCGGTGGCGTTCACCAGGATATCCCCGTTGGCCTGCTCGACGATATCTACCAGTGGGCCACGCAGTTTGGCGACAGGCTCGACGAGACTGAGGAGATGCTGACTGACAACCGAATCTGGCTCCAGCGTCTGCAGGGTGTCGGTGTCGTCAGCGCCGCCGAGGCGCTGAACCTCTCCTTCACCGGCCCCATGCTCCGCGGATCTGGTGTTCCTTGGGATATCCGCAAGAGCCAGCCCTACGACGCCTACGACCAGGTTGAGTTCGACGTGCCCGTTGGAGTCCGCGGCGACTGCTACGATCGTTACCTCGTCCGCATGGAGGAGTTCCGCCAGTCCCTTCGCATTATCCACCAATGCCTGAACAAGATGCCCGCCGGCCCCGTCCGTGTTGAGGACTACAAGGTCTCCCCTCCCCCCCGTGCCGCCATGAAGGAGAACATGGAGGCCCTCATCCACCACTTCCTCCTCTACACCAAGGGTTACGCCGTGCCCCCTGGGGAGACTTACTCCGCCATCGAGGCCCCTAAGGGCGAGATGGGTGTCTTCGTTGTCAGCGACGGTAGCGAGAGGCCATACCGCGTCCACATTCGTGCTCCCGGATTTGCTCACCTTGCTGGCTTCGACCATGTTTGCAAGGGCCACATGTTGGCCGATGCCGTCGCCGTTATCGGTACGATGGATCTGGTGTTCGGTATGTTTTTCTGTTTCTGTAATTGTTTGCCTCCTGCTAACGTGGCCCACAGGCGAGGTCGATCGGTAGACGTAGGGCGAGGTGGTAAAAGAAATTTCGGGATCGTAAGGTCTGTTCCGTTTGTACTTGTAGGCCGGAAGGAGAAGGTGCATCACCGTATATATCTCATTCTGTTGCTTCACGTCGTTCTGTCCGCTGTACTTCGGTCCGTGAATCCCAGTGTCTGTCTATACACGTAACGAGTTGCCATTTCGACGTGTGGCAAAGGTGATGGTTCATTTTCAGTGAATGACTGACATCGCTCTCATGCGACTATTCGCGAGCTTCAGTAGTTAAGTTTATCGTCTCTCATACCCGTAGTCTCGACTCTATATACCCAAGTCAACCATGCAGCAACCAGAATGTGTACGCTTAATATATACAGAAATGGGTTTTGTCTGTCTACAGTCTATGAGGTGGTCTTGCTGTCTACGGTACAATGCCGTATAATGCACGAGCGAGTTTTCTTCAAGAAAAATGGTATGTCTTGTGCGAGTAGACCTGAACAATCAAATCCCATGGTCATAGTAGAACAAGATTTACAATTGTTACAAAAGTATACAGCAATACATGGCAGGAACGTACGTCCTAGATAAACCTAGCTCCACTGCCCGCCGCCTGATCCATGATGAACTTTTTGAGAGGGCCCACAGCGTTTACAGCGTTCAGGCCTAGAGAGCGGAGGTGCACCAGCGGCCCGCTCTCGACAGAGTACAACTTGTGCAGCTTGTCGCAAACACCGAGAAGGACATGATTCGCAGCGTACCGCTCCGAATTGTACGTCTCAAGCGACAGGGACGAGCCGATGTCCTGGCCGTGGGCAACGGCGTACTCGATGGTCTTGGCGAGGCTCTGGACGTCGCCCTGGCCCGAGTTGAGCCCTTGTCCAGCAAGAGGGTGGATCGTGTGCGCAGCATCACCGATGAGGGCCACGCGCTCCCCGATGTAGGTGTCTGCGTGGCGGAGCTTCAGCGGGAAGGATGCAATCGTGCCCTCTTGCACGCCGACTGCAGTTTGGGGGATGGCCGCAACATCGACGGGCGTGTGATTCAGCCTCCACTGCAGCTCCTCGTCTTGACCGGATGACGTAGTATGCATGAATTTGACATCCACAGGGCTCAGTCGGAAAGCCGCATTAACCAGCGCGATAAAGTCCCTCGGAGCCAGGCTCTTCAGCAGCGCGGCGTTGGCCGGCGTCGTCGACCAGACGAGGGTCGAGTATTTGCCTGGCAGAGGGAGCATGGCCACGGGGCCAGTCGGTAGGAAGCGTTGATACGCCGTCTTGTTGTAGTCGCCGCCCCAGCCATCACCTTCCATCTCCAGCGTCGCAACGACACCGTGCCTCTCGTAGTCCCAGCCGCGGCTCTTGATGTCCGCGAAAGAGCGGACAGGGCTGTTTGCGCCGTCAGCGCCAACGAGAAGTCTCGCATGCAACTGTTTGCCACCCTCAAGGTGGACTACGGGCCATTGGCTGAGATCCAGCTGCTCGGTCTCCTCTCCTAGAGTGATCTCCTGCACTTTGGCGGCATCAAAGACAGAGACACCACCGAGCTCTTCCAACCGCTTAAGGAGACCTGAAGTGAGATTGAGGTTCTCGCACATGTAGGCAATCGTCTTGCCGCCAGATGTGACGGAGTCCGGGGTCCAGTCGAACTCGATGCGCGCGTCAGTGACACCGTCCCAGACCTGCATCTCCTGATACGCCTGAATGCGCTCGCGCTTCATGTGGCTCCATGCACCTATCGAGTTGAGATATTGCGCAGAGGTAGGCGTGAGAGAACTGCAACGGTTCGAGAATCGGTCGGCGGGAAGAGTCCAGTTGCGTGTCTTCGACAGGTCCTGGGCTTCGACAAGAGCGACGCGAAGGCGTGAAGTGGTAGGATTCGAGCCTGTCGAGGTCATCAGTACGATCAAGAACGAGAGTATGGAATCCGTATCTGCTCACGAAGGGCGGCGAGAAGACTCAGGCCAGCCGGCCCGCCTCCCACGCAGACGACATCGTAGATGTCAGGATTGGACGCGGCAGCTGTGGCGAAATGCCTCCTGTTTCTGGATGCAGCACGCTGTGTACAGCTCCGGCACACGAAGCGAGATCTTGCTACCAAGTGGCGGGGATTGGAGGCCATTTTTGGTGTAGTGACTGCGCAGCCAAGAATTGTGCGATCTTGATGCCACCAGAGTCGTGGTGATAGCATCTTCAGCAAAAGTCCGGAAGGGGCCTAGCGTGGTCAGCTCATGTTCAGACCACCTGGGGGCGGAACCTGACCCCTACGTCACCCCACCTATCCGCCTACCTCAGCAGGGACCAAAGCCGACTAACCCAGATCAGGACACAGCCAGGTTGCCACAGAGACAAGATAACAGCTCGCTTTCAGCAAGAACAGCAATCGGACTTTCAAGTTTACAATAACTTGTGCCCCCGCCCTACATACAGCCTTTGGCATCGTTTGCTCATCAACACCCTGTTTTTTTCTGGTGCTCGCTTAACTTGGTCGCAGAGCCGAGGCCAGATCTGTCGCGTGGTCGCATTCCTGCAGCCAGCAGCTCTTTTCGCCGGCTCTCTTACAGACGTTCATTCCTTTCTTTCACGGCTGTCATCGCCTGTCTCACCTCCCGCTATCGTCATCATTCAGACCTGTCACGATCAAACCCCGACAGACGTTATCGACGTGCCGACTGACATACCGTTATCATCATGTCGGACGAGGCGTACGAGTACCTTCAGCCTGGGTTTGACCCCAAGTCGCTGACGGTACCACGGCTGCGCTCCATTTTGGTGGCGCACGATGTCCAGTACCCCGCGACGGCGAAGAAGCCGCAGCTCATCGACATTTTCAACGAAGGCGTCGTTCCGAAGGCCAAGAAGTTTCTCGACAAGCAAGCGCGCGCCAAGCGTTCGAGCATGGGCATCATCAACATGCCCAGAGGCGACTCCTACGACACGGCGTCCTTCGACGACGAAGACGTTGATCTGGCACCACCACCTCAACGTGAAACACGCTCTCGTTCACCGCGCAAGGCTTCAGCAAGGCTACGGTCAGAGGACTACGAAGACGAGCCTGCCTTGCCTCTCAGCCCTACCAAACGCAAGGTTCGGGGCGCCAGTCGCCAATTGTCTCATCCGCCTGCGGACTTATATCCCACTGAGGCAGAGCCGCCTCGGGTCAGTCCGGAGGAGCACACGAACGGTGACGCCTCAGGGTCAAAAGTTGAAAGATGTAGAGGATGGATTCTTCAATCTTCAAGAGACGGATGTCAACTTCTCCGCCGAGAACCCATTCCAGAGTGGGAGCTCTCCAGCGCCTGCCTCGCGGCCCTAGCAGCAGCCGCAGGCAAACAGCCGGGCATGAAACTCCCGGCTACATTGAACGACGTCGGCGAACGGGGCCGCACTGATGGCTATGAGCGGCCCAAGTCTGCTAAATCGAACAAGTCCGTCCGGCACGGAATCGCATATGTATCTGAACTGGATGCTGGCGAGGAGTTTACCCCTGAAGAACAAATTGAGTTGGAAAATGGAAATAGCCATGAAGGGCGCCAACGGTCTGCTGGAGCAACGTCAACCCAAGCCAGCGAAGAAGCGCACTGGTCTCAGGACACCTTTGATGGCGCTTGCTGTCACCCTGCTAGGAGCGTACGGCGGCTGGTATCGACAGGAGAAGATCGCCGTCGGTTACTGTGGCCTCGGCAGACCTGCGACTCAGGTCATCCCCCCTGAGGTGTCAGTTCCCGACTGGATCGTCCCTTACATTGAGCCCCAGTGCGAGCGTTGCCCTCAACACGCCTACTGCTTTGAGGACTATACTGTGCGCTGTGATGACAACTTCATCTTGAAGCCTCACCCCCTTTCGCTCGGCGGTCTGGTACCGCTGCCGCCCACCTGCGAGCCCGATGGCGAGAAGGTCAGGCGGATCAAGGCTGTTGCCGACAAGGCAGTTGAGGAGCTTCGTGAGAGGAGGGCCCAGTTTGAATGTGGCGAACTGGTTGATCAGACGGGCGAACATGAGGAGAGTCCGGCCATTGAGGAGGAGAAGCTCAAGTCGGCCATTAGTGAAAAGCGCAGCAAGAAGATGAACAAGCAGGAGTTCGACGATCTTTGGGCAGCTGCTATTGGAGATATCAAGGACCGCGAGGAGGTCGAGATCATCAAGTGAGTTGCCGCTCCATTTCCATACCTTTATCCCCACATGCCTACCACGCCCTACTCGACAATAGCATTCGTTCTGACCAGCATCACTAACCAGATCGGTCGCGCCGGAAGCAGACAAGCCGATTCCGCCGGCCTTCCAAACACCTACCTCTCGTCCACCTCTCTCGCTCGCCTTTCGATCAGCTGCGCGGCCAAGCGGTCCCTCCGGCTCGGATTGGCAAGATATCGACTCCCAGCTGGATCTCTAGCCGCCCTGGTGGCTTTGTATTTTTATTTGCGTGGGCGCTATCGATCCCACAAGGCCGAGGTCTCCCGGGTTCCGTCTCTTGTTGACTTGGTTCTCGCACGACTTGCATCGCAGAAGGAGCTTGGCGAAGAGGAGCTTGACGATCCTTGGCTGTTCCTGCCAAACCTACGAGACGACGTTCTTCGCTCTGTGCACTCGCTGAAGAGCCGGGATCGCATCTGGTCTCGAGTGAGAGCCGTCGTGGAGCAGAACAGCAATGTGCGTACCAGTCAGCGCGAGGGCCGCAGCGGCGAGGTCGGCCGCGCCTGGGAATGGATCGGGCCACTCACTGGCGATAGCGCAAGGCGGCGGAAGAGTGGGCGCGTGTCATTCGGAACTGGCGCTGTAACGGATGACGATCGGAAGGACGAAATGTCAGAGAAGTCAACGGCGCGTTCGACCTGGCAGGAGTCGCGACCGATCTACTGAGATGGTTGGTGTATGGGACGCTTTCTTACAACACTGATTCTACCGGCCTGACATGGCATAGTGTCTTGTTTTCTTTGTAATGATTATGCAGACGACGCCTGGATCGAAACTAGGTCAATGATCGTTATAATATTTGGAAATCCCCACGATACTGGAGTGAACATCTCAGCAATACCTGTTCAACGTGGAATATCTTAAGTCTCATCAATCTTGGGCCCGCTCTGGGCTTTGACTATCTCGCCTCGCCCAGACCGAGTCGTAACCTGAAAGCCCTAGTGAACTCCACCCACTACGCTCTCAGAGCCATGATTCCACCAGAATTGCCGAAACTCGACAACGGGCGATTGGTTTAGTGGTATAACGTCTGCTTAGCATCGAAACGAGTAATCGTGAGATCCTGTCTGCTGAAGGTCGCGCGTTCGATTCGCGCATTGTCCATTCTTTTTAGCTCATCGGCGGTCAACCGGGCTCTCAATTCTTTTGTACAAATGTTTGGATAGCATCTGGAGTCTTTTTTTACAACATTAGTCGGGAGAGAATAGCAAAGTTTCTGAATTGGATCACGTTAAGGAACCACAAGAATCAGAGCACTGAAGGTAAGGGTGTTAGTGGTCGTTGCTGTTGGCAGCTGATGTGCTCGGACCTCGGAGCGGGAAGCTCGGCAGGAACAGGTCATCGTGCTTCGAGTCATTGCTGTCCTTATAGTTACTCCGAAACCCCCCAATGGCTTGTCTGTTGTGGACGGGGGTCTCATACCCATCATTTATGGTTCTTTTGCGCCAGAGTGTAGGGATTCATATATCGGGCATGGATGAGAGGCCATCAATTAAAGTCACGTATCACGGGTATCATAATGACGACGAACAACAGGCTGCTGGGCAGTCATTGCGGATTAAGTTCAAGATTGTTGATTCGGCTAATGCACAGGTGTTTATAAACACGTAGGGGTTTCCCTCGTACAAAGGAAATCTTCCTCTCATGGAGTCCTAAGTTCGACGTAGAGGTTGGTTGTCTATTGGGCCTTGGAGGCAAGGAGCTCTGCAAAGGATTTGTCAGTTTTCAGGTGCTCACAAGCAGTGTGCGTTGTGTGGCAGGAACTCACTCTCGACATCAGTGATGCTCTGGGCGAGAACCTGCTGCAGAGCCTTGGGGCTCTCAAGCTCCTTCTGGACCTTGGCGATGATGCTCTCGGCGAGCTCCTTCTGCTGGCGCTGCTTGACCTGGCTCTCGTAGCGGACCCAAGAGTCAAGGACGGTCTTGGCCTCGGTAGCCAGAGCAGTCTTCTGCTCGAGCTCGAAAGCCTGGGCCTCGAGCTTGGCGGTCTCCTATGATGATGCGTTAGCGGCCGGTTCAAGAAGTACGCGCGGTGCCTACCCCGCATCGGGTTTCATCGCGCGCGTGCCTTGCGCCATCAGGACAGGTCGTACCTTGGAAACCTCGTCGATGCGAACCTGGACGGCCTTGGTGTGGTCGGTACGAGCCTGATCAAGGAGGCCCTTGATCTTGTTGCTCTGGGCATCCGCCCACTCGGAGTACATGGGACCACCGTACTTGATGAGAGCGCCCCAGACGGCGAGAAGGCAGAAAGCGACGACGGTCTCCTCGTTGACGACATAGTACTCGTTGCTGATGGCGTAGACACTGAGACCGGCAGTGGAGGAAAGGATGGCTGTCTTGGAGAGCAGCGAGTTGCCGGGGAGAGAGTCGATGAGGGACTGGGCCTTCTTCTTGGGGTCCTCAGCGGGCACGCCGGAGACGTTGCGAGAGGAGGTAAGGGACGCGATGGCGGGCAGGGTGCGCCGGGCCACGGTCGGCCGGAGGAGGTTCGCTCCTAAACATGAGGCACGTCAGAGAGCCGATACTCGACGCGCGAGGGCCAATTGACCTCGCCGGGTGGTTCGGAAGGGAAGGAGACTGTACCAGCAGCGCTTCTAGCCAAACGGGACGCCATTTTGAGATAATCTGGGGATGCGGATTAGGAGGCTTGAGGTCATTCGGAGCTCGCAGGGCAGGGAATGAGGTTGAGGTTTTTTGGATCGCGCTAGTTCGGGTAGGAAGAGTCACGTGAGGCGGCTGACTGTTTTGCTCGATGGACGGGAATTTGCCGGGTGCTGGCGGACCGGCGCCTGCAGCTCATGCGGAGGATCCACTCTTCACTACAGGATGGACGCTGGAAATTTTTGAGGTCTTGGCATCGAACGTCTGAAATCCAGCACACTGCCGCAATCGAGCATTGGAGGTCCTATTGCTCGATCAATCTCCTCAAGATGCCTGCCAAAGCCTCAGCCGATGTCCGGAAGCGCAAGAGGTCTGCAGAGGCCAAGGAACTCGCGCAAAAGCGTGCTCGTTCGGAGAGCGGCAACGAGAGCGATGGATCCAGTGAGACGGACCCTCAAGCTGAGATTCTACTTATGGAACAAGAGATTCTCGAATCGAAGAAGCACTACAACAACATCTCAAAACTTCTCGACATCGCCAAGGCCTACAAGACAGATCCCGATTCAGCTGCCCTCGCTTCTGTCGCACTTACCAGAGTTTTCGTGAGATTGCTCGCTGCGGGGTCTCTCATCAAGAAAAAGGGCCTGACAGAGAAAGATGCCGTTGTTGTTGGCTGGCTCAGGGAACGCTACTTTGAGTACAAGGATGCTCTGGCCGAGATGATCACAGATGAGGAGCTGGGATCGCCGGCCCTGACACTCGCTATGCGAATGCTGAAGTCTGAGGCCCAACACTTGTACGAGTCGGATGAGTACAACTTTCCCCAGGCCTTCCTGCAGCAAATTATCAAGGCGCTTCTCAACTCCAGCAGCGATGACGCTCGCGGAGATTTCGTGGACAAATATTTGACGGAGTTTGACGATGTTCGGTTTTTTGGGTTGAAGTCCATCAAGTGAGTCTTGCCGTCAACAATTTGTTTGCCAATCTTTACTGACCTGCATACTTTAGAAACATCGTTGAGAAGCCAGAGGAGGGCGCTGGCAAGGATGATCTCTTTGACGATGCCTTTGAACTTCTGCATGCCATTGGCGACGTGCCCAAGAAGCTGGAAAACTACCACCTAGAGAAGCCCAGCAAGAAGGCGCATCCCCTGAACTCCCTGCACCAGCATCAGCGGCAAGGCCAGGATGCCTGGCTAGCAGTCATGAAGCTCGCAACGACCAAGGATCAACGCAAGCGCATCCTCGAGGTCATGGCGACGGATATCGCGCCGTGGTTCACGAGGCCTGAATTGCTGGCAGACTTCCTTACCGATTCGTACAACACTGGTGGCTCCATGTCGCTGTTGGCCTTGTCAGGCGTCTTCTTCCTCATTCAGGAGAGGAACCTCGACTACCCATCATTCTACACAAAACTGTACTCTTTGTTGGATCGCGACATCTTGCACTCCAAGTACAGGGCAAGATTCTTCCGCCTGATGGACACCTTCCTGCGCTCGACGCATCTACCTGCTGTACTCGTCGCAAGCTTCATCAAGCGTCTCGCACGCCTGTCTCTCAGCGCCCCGCCCGCAGCTATCGTCTTCATTGTGCCTTGGACCTACAACATCATGAAACGCCACCCGCTTTGCACGTTCATGATGCACCGGGTACTGCGCGATGACGAGGCGAAGAAGGCCATGGAGGATGAAGGCTATGCCGACCCGTTCTTACCAGACGAGGCGGATCCGATGGAGACACACGCCATTGACAGCTGCCTGTGGGAGTTTGTACAACTGCAGTCGCACTACCACCCCAACGTGGCAACAATCACGAAGATCATCTCGGAACAGTTTACCAAGCAGTCCTATAACATTGAAGATTTCCTGGATCATTCTTTTAGCAGTGTAAGTTATCCCGCCTCCTGTGTCGAAGTTTGTATTTTGTGTGGTGGCTGACTTTGTGTGACAGCTTCTGGAGGCTGAGATGAGCAAGACGGTGAAGAAGCCGCCTGTTGTCGAGTTTCAGATTCCCAAGAGAATTCTATTTCCGAATGACGCCGAGTCTGGCATTGAGGATAGTCTGGTGGCTAAGCTGTGGGAATTTGCGTGAGACGCTCGGACAGGTGGAGGTCAATCGAGACGAGGCTACATAGATGCGTGCTACAAATACCCGGATGCTGTTGGCCGTGCCACGTCCTGTAGTTACAATGGAAAATGGAGGTAAACGATGTATATTGAGACTACCAAGTTTCGTACAAAGGTCATCTCGCTGCATCGTTGGAGGATTGGAACGTTCAAGAGCTCGCGTGACCTATTGCTCCAACGAGCAAGATGCTGGCTTGTCTGGAGCAGCTTCAGTGGGCGGGTCCCACTGTTGTCACAGCCCCCTTAGTCTCAAGGTGCAGTGCAAGCCGGAAAGATAAGGGAAGACTGACTTCAGCTCAGTGGAGCGTTATGTTTCCAGAACGGCCCAATAGATCGTCGATTTCTGGAGGTTTGCAACCAATCGGCGGGGCGGGTAGGAGCATCCTCTCCACTGACATCATTGGATTGTCAGGTTCGCTACCAGAAGCGTTCCTAGCTTACCCCATTAGCGCCTCGACCGTTCTCCCCGCCTGCTGTACCTGCCTGGAACCTTGCTGCCCGCTTGCGAAAGCAAATGCCCACTGCCCAGCGATTCATCATCGACGATCTACCTGCCTTCGTTAGCTTCAGTTCAAACTCTTCACTGCACCAAGTCGACTCCTACGACGTATGCAACGCCAGGAAACCGACAGGACGTAGCGACAGGCGCCACGAGAGATTCGGCTCAGACAAAAGCGATACTCTGCGAGCACGCCCTGGCTGGAGCATTGTCGATTGACAGTATGAACAACAACTTCTTCAAACCACTCCAGAGCCCTCAGGTTGAGCGGCCACCTCCGAATCCCCTGAATCCAGCCACCTCTGCCCCCGCAGTCGCTGGATCGCAGCAGGCGACGCGCAGCAAGAAGAAACGCACTGGCAAGAAGAAGCGTGGGAGGAGGAAGTCTTTTGCTGTGCTCCCAGAAGAGTCTCACGACGAGGCTGAGGCCTCGACCGCCACCGTCGCTGCAAGACCCGACTTCTACCTGCAAACACGCAACTTCAGCAATGCCAGCCTCGACAGCCAAACATTGCTGGACCACCGCGACCAACAGCCACTCCGACCTCGTCGTGGCTCAACAATGGCCACACCTGGGTCCTTCCAGACTCCGCCTGCCAGTCGTTTGCGCGTGAGCCATGCCCATGGGGGTGATAGTGGTGATGATGGAGAGCCAGCATGGGACGAGAACGCGCCCTTGCTGTCACGGTCAGCACAGAGAACAAATACCATGCCGTCCTTGAGCTACGGGGGTGGTACCAGCCAGTCCAGGCCACGCGTTAGTCGTCGAGGATCCAGCAGGTCGTCGAGGCAGCGCCAGCCTGTCTTCAATAGCATCAACTACCCCCCTTCTATGCCAGGCTCGCCACGAATTGCTGGTTCAGATCCCCTAGACCTGACGTTCGGGGATGTTATGATCACCGATGAGCTCGACGCCCGCCTCGGTCGGTCCCCGCATAATGATTACCGCTTGGATGATCACCATTCGGATCACGATGTGCGCATGGAAGGCGCATCCCCGGGTATAGCACGGAGGAAGACCATTTGCCTTGCAGGCCGAGGCGGACGTGTGCTTCCCCAGCGGTGTCTCCGAGTTGGGCGAAGAGGAGCATCTCGAGTCGAACAATATGCGGAGGCCTCGGCGCCGACGCGCCGCTTGGCCCGACCTCACAATTCTCGATGAATGGAGCCGCATTGAGAAAGAGGGCCGCAGTGAAGAACGCAGGGTCAAGCGCATCACCGAGCCTCAACTCATCAACGGACGTCTGCGCACGGTGCATCGAGGCTGGATGCGCCCCGAAGAGGACTCGCCGTATCGATTCACCTATTTTAATGAAGAGTTCCAAAGCACCATCCATAGTCAGACGATCTCGGAGCTCGTTCAAGTTGGTGGCAGTTTCCGAGAGCTGTTCATTCCCGAACCTCGTGTCCTGTCAGACGACAGCGAGTCCGATGATTCTGATGCGGAAGACGTATCAGTGGTGACTGCTACACAGCAGAACCACGCCTCAATTGGCCAGAACGGCGTTTCTGGCACTTCAACGCGCCAGAGCTCTGTTGTTCCCCCCTTGAGCGAGGAGCCCGAATCAATCATCTCGGGCCATGACAAGACTTCACACGAGAGCTCCAGGGCGCCTTCGGGCAAGGCGACGCCAACGGGGGTTAAGTCGCCAACGCCGAATGTCTCTCAGCCAGAAGGTACACCAAAGCAACCCAAATTTGGCGAGCGACCGGTCTGGTGGCTTGACGTGCTGTGTCCAACCGAGGCCGAGATGAAGGTTCTTTCCAAGGCGTTCGGCATCCATCCTCTCACGGCAGAGGATATCATGGTGCAGGAGGCTCGTGAGAAAGTTGAGCTCTTCCGACACTACTACTTTGTCAACTATCGATCATTCGATCAAGATTCCGAGAGCGAAGACTACCTCGAGCCCGTCAACATGTACGTCATCGTGTTCCGAGAGGGTGTTTTAAGCTTTCACTTTTCAATGACGCCTCACTCTGCCAACGTCCGCCGACGTATTCGTCAACTCAAAGATTTTGTCATCGTTAATTCAGATTGGATCTCATACGCCATCATTGATGACATCACGGATGTTTTTGGTCCCTTGATTCAGAATATCGAGGACGAGGTTGACGACATTGATGATGCTATTCTTCGACTGCACTCTTCAGGTGACGTACAGGCCAAAGATGGACCACTGTACTCGGAGAAGGCGTCAGACGACGGACATCCCTTCCAAAAGGAGAGCCACATGCTTCTCCGTGTCGGCGATTGTCGTAAACGGGTCATGAGCCTCTACCGGCTTTTGGGCAACAAGGCAGACGTCATCAAGGGCTTCGCAAAGCGTTGCAATGAGCGATGGGAGGTTGCACCCCGGTCCGACATTGGTCTGTACCTTGGCGATATTCAGGATCACATTGTGACCATGACATCAAACCTGAGTCACTACGAGAAGTACGATCCTCTTTACCGTGCAAACGGATCGCCAAACCTTACGTCAGCCACTAACATTCTCAGGATCCTTGCACGTTCCCACGCAAATTACCTTGCCCAGATCAACATTCGTATGAATGAGCGCTCCGAACAGACGGCCGATGTGCTTGGAAAACTGACTGTCTTGGGCACTATCGTCTTGCCTATGAACATCATTACCGGGCTGTGGGGTATGAACGTGTGGGTTCCCGGGCAGGAATACGAGGGGGACCTAACTTGGTTCTGGTGTCTGACAGCGGGCTTATTGGCGTTTGGTCTAACCTGCTTCATCGTTGCGAAGAGAGTGTATAATATCGTGTAGACGGCGCCTTTGCTGTAGTCACCACCACCCTGGACGGTGTTTTCTGGTATTACGCCACTGTTTGTTCAGTGTTTGCTTTGGGATTTTCCAGGAGTTTGAGGATTCCTCGTATTTTCTTTGGAATGGGACTATGTATATTTCGGTATGAATGCAACGAATCAACGAGGCCTTTAGCACGGTGGTTTGCGCGCCAAAAGTAGTCAAAGACAACAGATGCGGCGCTTTGGGAACTTCAGCTATAAGGTCTGTGGGAACTAGATCTAGTCCGCCTGCTGGATGCTTTGTTAGGCCGTGGTGCCGTCTATTGCGTAGAGGACAACGCGTCTTGAGACAGGCATCGTCCATGGTGTGATCGATTATACTTGACTCGCGATAGCCGCACTTCTCGAGTGGATCTGGGGTGGGAAAAGTTACACCCATAACGGTGAAGGTTGTAAATTCAGAGATGAGAAGTGCCTTCGGACGATAAGAACCTTGGGCGGCGAGGCTTTTCATGCTGGGTTTCAATTGTGACTTTTCCTACGTAAACTATGATGTTTCATTCACATATATCTGCCTGATATTCCCTGTAGTCGTCTGCAATACTTTTACTCCACGATATCCCAAAATTATCATGCATTGCTCCATATTCTTGACTGGTGCTATAGCCCTCTATGAAATTTGGTGGAGGGCATTTAACGCGTCCATTTACCAGGGCCAATTTCTTGCTTGAGGCGATGGTTGGACTCTTGGCGACTGTGTTATACACACATCGGGTTGTTGTATGTTATGCAAAGACCGACTATGTCGTAAACCGATCTTCTCCAAATGCGCCAGGACTGACTGGCCTAGGCCGCCTACCCCAACATGGAAAGCCTGAGACAGCGAGGCGCGGACCCTTGTCCCCTGCGATTCTTACCTTAGCCGCAGTTGTTAGTGGCCCCCGAAAATGTGAAGGTGGCCTCAAGCACGAGATCCATTGATTACAGATTGAGCTCCTCCCGCCTGCCACTGCTCGCGACACCAGCTTGATCTCGGATCGCTGTTCTCCTGACCTCTTTTTTGGTCCAATTGTCTTCGTGCTTACATTGCAGTTGAATTGCCGTTTCTTCAAGGTTCCCCGGACGCTTCTCCTCGACTCCGCCGCGTTTAATAACTGGAAGGTGGGGGACACAAGTCTTGCTTCGTTTCAACGTTAGCTGTTCGAAAACAAACCGAAAAATCGACACACCAGCGCCTTGCGCTCGACACCCTTTAGCACAATGGCCGGAAAATCTAGATTCACCAAGCTTGATGCCTTCACAAAGACTGTCGACGAGGCTCGCATTCGAACCTCATCGGGCGGCATCATCACCATCGTCTCGCTCTTCATCGTCTTTTGGCTGGCGTGGGGAGAATGGGCCGACTACCGGAGGATAACTCTGCATCCAGAGCTGATCGTTGACAAGGGAAGAGGTAAACATGTCCAGAAAACTGCAGGTGTTTGCCAAGGCTAATGCGGTCCTGCACAGGCGAGAAGATGGAGATCCATCTGAACATGACTTTCCCCAAGATGCCATGTGAGCTTCTGACGCTCGACGTCATGGATGTTTCGGGCGAACAGCAACACGGTATTGTCTCTGGTATCTCCAAAGTCCGCCTCAGGTCGCAGAAGGACGGCGGTGGTGTCATTGACACCAAGGCTCTGAGCCTGTAAGTGGCTGTAGTTGTGCGACGAGGAAGATATTCCTATTAACCTGGTTAACTCTAGACATGCTGCGGACGAAGCCGCCACCCATCTGGCTCCCGACTACTGCGGCGACTGTTACGGCGCGAAGGCTCCCGCCAACGCTGTGAAGCAGGGATGCTGCAACACGTGCGAAGAGGTGCGGGAGGCATACGCGCAGGCGTCGTGGGCGTTTGGCAAGGGCGAGAACGTCGAGCAGTGCACTCGTGAGCACTATGCCGAAAGGCTTGATGAGCAGCGCGCTGAGGGCTGCCGTATCGAAGGCGGACTGCGCGTGAACAAGGTTGTCGGCAACTTCCATCTGGCACCGGGCCGCAGCTTCAGCAACGGCAACATGCACGTTCACGACCTCAAGAACTACTGGGACGCCGAAATCATACACGACTTCACTCACCAGATTCACGCTCTACGCTTCGGTCCCCAGCTGCCCTGAATCCCATTACGAAGAACCTTGGCAACAAGGCGGGGCCCTTGGACGAACCACCACTTGAACCCGCTCGACGGCACCTCCCAGATCACGACGGACCCCAGCTTCAACTTTATGTACTTTGTCAAGATCGTCCCCCACTTCCTACCTGCTCTCGGCTGGGACAGCAAGCGCTCCCCCAGGACAACGACGGCGGGCTCCTTGGATCCTTTGGTCAGGGCAGTGACGGCAGCATTGAGACGCACCAGTACTCAGTGACGAGCCACAAGCGCAGCTGTCGGGCGGCGACGATTCTGCTGAGGGACACGCCGAGCGCCTGCACACCCGCGGTGGCATCCCCGGCGTCTTCTTCTCTTACGTAAGTCGTGACTTGTCTACACTTTTGGAAGAGATGTGCTAACACAGTCAAGGATATTTCTCCCATGAAGGTCATCAACCGCGAGGAGCGCTCCAAGTCTTTCACCGGCTTCTTGACCGGACTCTGTGCAGTCATTGGCGGTACCCTCACGGTAGCCGCCGCGGTTGATCGTGGCATGTTCGAGGGCTCTTTGAGGCTGAAGAAGATCCGATCCAAGGACAACTAAATGGAGTGTTTTGCGCGTTGGATAGTGGACGGGGACAAGGGTGTTGATATGTGGGTGGGGTGTGTACAATCTGGTGCTGGCAGCTCTGACTCTGCCTCGTGCATCTGGCTAGGAGTTCTGGGCTGGCTTAGAATGGTTTCTGATTATACTATCGAACATAAATTTCAGTTCACACATGTTTCAAACTTGCATTAAGAAGCGACGAGGTAAGCAAATGTCAAAGGCAAATAGCTTCAGTGATACACATCCGGACCACGTGACAACAAGACAAGAGAGGTGTGAATTATGTAAGCTCATCATTGCCCTTGGCCCGTGCTCAAGCTACTGTGACGTCCAGACTACGTCCCAAAAAATCCCTAAGAGGATTCGCGGGTATGGTTGACGGCATCCAACGTTGACCAGCCCAACAACGATCCAAGCTTAAACTGCATACACAGCAGCTTCGGCAAGCGTTCATTCTAATCTCACCACTTTGAGCGGAACTAGAACCCAACAATCACCCCGAAGAACGCCCTCATCCTCAACCACTACAAGCTGGATCCCATCCCGCTCACACAATGTCGAAGACGCTTTCTCGCGTTGTCTTTGTAGGCAACATCCCTTACGGTGCGCAATGTCGACTCCCTTCAGCTCTCATGGTTTATACTCATTGAGCTGCAGGTCTCTCCGAGGAACAGATCACCGATATTTTTAGCAGCGCTGGCAAAGTCATCAACTTCCGTCTCGTCTACGACCGCGAGACAGGAAGACCAAAGGGCTTCGGATTTGCCGAATACCCCGACCACGGTTGGTCGCGCCTATTTCCCTACATTTCCGTGTTGCTAAGTATTTTCTTTTACAAACAGACTCTGCCGCTTCAGCAGTTCGAAACCTGAATGATTACGAGACGATGGGTCGCAAGTTGAGGGTTGACTTCTCTAACGAAGGAGGTACCGACGACAATGATTTCAACCAAGTGAGCAGTAGAACCCTGTTCGCATACTAAAGTCGCATTCTAATCGTTGTTAGGGTCGCGATGGTCTCAGCTTCGGTGCCCCGAACACCTATGGCCAAGCAGCACCTGCCGCTCCACAAGCCAGCACCCTTCCTCCGCTTCCTCCTGGCAAGGAACTGCCCGCCAACATTACCGCGACCGACGCCATCTCTCGCACGCTCAACACGCTCCCTCCTTCGCAGCTTCTTGATATTTTGACACAAATGAAAGCCTTGGCTTCCAATGATCCGGCCCGCGCAACGGAGCTTCTTCAACAGGCTCCCCAGCTGTCCTACGCCGTCTTCCAGGCCCTTCTCCTTATGGGCCTTGTCTCGCCAGAGGCAATTCATAGTGTCCTCGAGCCCAGCAGCGGTGTGCCAGCGCCTCAGGCTCTTCCGGCCGGTTTCCCACCCCAGGGCGTACCTGGATACCCGCCCGCCGGCGCGACCAACACTCCGCCTGTTGCGGCGACACCCTATCCTGCGCCACCGCAACCAGTGTACGGCGCTCCCGCTCCCGCCCCTGCGCCTGCGCTGGGCCATGACACAGACGCACTCATGAGGCAGGTCATGGAACTCCCAATCGAGACAATCAACACTTTGCCTGAAAGCGGAGCGCGCCCAGATCATGGCGTTACGCGCACAGTTCCAGCAACAGAGGCGCTAGAACCATGGGGTATGAGCACTGTACTATTATTGACCACGAACGAGCGAGCATGGCATCGCCTGAAATGCGGGGGAATGGCGACCACACGAGGAAATGCGGAATCCTCACTGCTTCACTCGGGAGGTGCGGAGCAGTCAAGGCGTTCTTGGAGTTTGCAGGAAATACAAAATATATCGTCTGTCATCACGACGACCCTGGCTTGGTAGGCTGTAAAGACTGCCAGGGCGCAGCCAACGTCTAAGAATTTGAACTCAGCCACGTTGAAAGATTCAGACTCGGCCCGCAATTACGCAAGCCCAGTTGTCACGGCAGTCGCCGAGCAAGAAAGACGAAGGAGCCGCTCACATGCAAATCTCAAGCCGGAACGAGGCTTGTATGCCATCTTGCAACTGGTCTCAAGCATCAAGGCACAGCCAGATGTCTGGAAATGAACATTTGGCTTCGGCGGGCTAGGACATTTAGCGACAGGTTCTAGTGGACTGAGGACGTCGATACCCAGTGATAGAGTATGTAGAAGTACGTTGCCTTGGCAATAGTTGCTGACGGGCAGAATCCAGCTTAGTATAGCAACCGCTGTTCGCTGTGAAACCCGAGTCAATGCGCCTCGTCGACAATTGGAGATGGCGGGTATCTGGCATGTTGAAACCTCAGCACGCCGTACGAAGTCCCCTTTTTGTGAGTTCGGTCGGGGTTGGATTCGCAGCGATGTCAAGCAGGTGCATTGGTCCTTTGCACCAGGACAGCACTCAAAGCAAAGCGATCTCCCTCGATTGTAAATGTGCGTGGCTGCCACGCCACAATGGGCAGGCCAAGATGCATTGCATGTAAGCGCCTTTCGACATGCAGCGAGCGAACTGATTGTGACAAACCATCAAATAGGATACTATTTCTTGAGCTAAGCGCCAATGACTGTTGTTGGCCGTTTGTCAAGACTCTCGGCCAAGACTTTGTTCCTTGCCGATAGCTTGCCGATAGAAGAGCTCGGGGATGATGTAAAGAGATCTGAAGTACGCCTGTATCCCTGATTCGAAATAGCATTCAATGACACACCGCTCCGTATCGAGACATAGCCGCTCTTGAACGCCCTAAGTGACACACCATCTGTGTTTTCACGGCTGACACAGCCTCAAAACTCCCACATACTTAGATAGGATGTATCGTCGTATTTCACCTCAGCCTTTTGTAGGATACTGCCAGATGTCCTTCAGCAACAAGATTTCCGTTGGCAGAAGATTTATGTCCTCAGTGGAAAAGGACTCCATCTGCACGTTTCATGGGCCGTGGATGTCTGATGGACTAGTAGGATGGCAGGTGCAGCTGACTCAGGCGTCATTAAGCGTGAGATAGCAGTGCATCGTAGGTTTCCTTGCATGGGAACATGGACATCGAAAATCGTGGATCGAGGTTCCTCCCGCTCCTGCACAACACACACGGTGGAGTGGGATGACCCACGGAATAGGGCCTGGACTGTGCATTAAACTCCGTACGTACGCGCGCAGTTCATTACAAGCTTTGGGGCAGCTGAGGGGGTTTGGGGAGGAAAGGGGTGCATCTTCAGAGCATTTTGGGGGCGGGGGGGGGGGGGAGACGAACAACAGATGCAAAACGCAGAGATGCAGGGCGGCACTACTAGTGACGTCGCTATGATGAGACCTGCATCCCTTCGCAAAAGTCCCCAGAACGACTGACGCTGTCCTGAGACCCTTTCCCCGGCTTGGCGAATCTGTCGCCCACGCCTTGCCGGGCGCCCAACCCCATGTACCTACTGAGAGCAGTCGAGAACGTTGTGAAAACACCACATGGTGTAGAGCAATCTCCACTGCGGTCACGAGGGCCACTGCCAGCGCCGCATCGAGGCCAGCCACAAATCAATAGTAAAAGCAACCACGACTCAACCAGGCGTGACGATGCCTCGGCCGTCATCCACATGAGGCAAGCTGCAAGCAAAGAAGAGGACCACGAGGGCGCGTGTGACAAGCAGAGAAAACACAGTCACGATATTGCGCGCCCAAGCCCGGGCCAATAAGACCGCCGGGCCGAGTCCCAATGCAGGGGCGACGGGAGATTTGCGACCGGGGAGAGAATGAGAGACACATGCAAGTGAGGAAGCACGACATGGGTCTGTGGTGTTAGCTGCGCCAAAGGAGGGGCCAGAGAGGGGTTCGAAACGGAAGGCAGGCAGTCGGCCTGACCCAGAACGGATGAGCAGGGTCCCTTGTTTGACCATCATGGTGATGTGACGGTGCTGGTGAGGATGGGAAGGGTAGGGTCCATGCCGAGATGCTCGATTAGGTCTGTGGTCTTTCTCAATGCTTGGTTGACCCCAACTTGTCGCCCCAAAGACAGGTACGTGGTCACAAAGTGTTGACCTTGCCGAAACGCTGAAGAAAGGCACGACTTGGGACTAGATTTTCTTGGCCTACCCGACTAGCGATGGACGGGCTGGATGGGGTCCTGTTGCTAAAGTTAGCCGGTCATTTGGTGGGGAGAGACTGGGCGATCTGGCCCAGGCGAGACCCTCGAGTCGTATCGTGCGTTTTGCCTGTTGAGAAGACCACCTAGATGTAACAATACGACACGCCTCAGGGCCGCCGCCGTATACAGGTTCTCATGGCCGAAATAAAGAAGCCAGGTGTGTGCCTGGCCACTGTACTGTGCCATGTTGGGCATATCGTGTCAAGTTGCTAAGTTGGGCTGGAGATGGCGAAGAACCCAGGTGATGATGAATGGCTTTGCCACAAGCCTCAGCTGCGCCATCCAACGCATCAAAGGAGTGGGCGATACGAACGATGTGGTCCAGGCAGACAGACACTTCGTCCCACGGTAGGCAACCGTCCCGCTTCAAAAGGGCAGAGAGTTGAAAACCTCCTATGGAACAACAATCAGTAAACCCGAATTTTGATATGAATCGAAGCGCTGGAATCCAATGACGATTCAACGTTGGAAACAAGTCTGGCGGGCGGGCGAAACGAAAAAAAAAAGGGGCACACTTCAAGGATAGGAAGAAGAAATGCTAGCACTCCAGGTCGGGCGGTCTCTAGGCTGCACCCCAGGATCTCAGTGGCTCAGGACAGCAGGCGTGGCGTGCCGTGTTCGCCAATAACGGCCCATCGCCGATGCTCTGGCCCCTGGATTGCTAATCCTCATCCAGCCTAGCTCTGTCAACAGGCGCATGCACCTCTAATGGGTCCGGCCAAAGGCTCCCCGCCTGGGGGGCCCAACTCGTCCATTGTGGCACCAACAGCCTCTGCAAGGCCAGTGAGAAGTCGCTACCAGTCCCTTATTCTCCAGCAACCAGTCCCGCTCCGCCGGCCCCTTCCACAGCAGTCACTGGCAGCCAGCCGAACGGAGCAGGTGCAGGAACCGGTTCAGGAGGAGAGGAGTTCTGCTACATCTCGTCACCCCGTCTACCGCTGTTCAAACGTCTCCCCTCCTCGTATTCCTTCGTTCCCCTCTGTTTCTGCTAATTGTGTGTTTTTTCCCACTCTGACAAAACGAAGGGAGAGAGAAAGAGATAGTGAGCACCCGGAAACGTTCCTGGACGTCTGGAAACCCGTTGTTCAAGCTTGACGCCAGCCAGCTTCTTCCGTGTCCCTACCACCCCCTCCCCACGCTCATTTCCATCTGCAACAACTGAGAGAAAGATCCTGGCGCTTCATCTCAGACAAGCACCGTTGACGACACGAGCCCTCCCTAGCCTCCTTCTCCTCTTTCATCATCTCCTCAGCGACACGAAAACATACGCATCCATTACACAAACACGGCAAATTCACAACACACGCCCATTTGGCCGGTTTCGCGCCTTCGCCATTACTCGGTACACTACTAAGCCCAATATCGTGCCTTTTGGCTGTCGCGCCTTGACGCATTCTTCCTATATTGCCCGTTGCCGCACTTGCAGGGTTGACTGCAACTTGCTGTTCATGCGCGCCGCCTCAACATTCCAATCAGCCACGACCGCAGCATTTGGCCGTCGCCAAACAGTTTTCCGAATCGCCTTACCTCATATGGCTCAAGCCTCTCCCACCCCTCCCTGCCGAACTTGAGTTTGACGACATACTCAATCCAACCACCGAGACACACGTCGAACGCTACTCGAATTCCAACCTCCTTCTCGCGCGTCGCCGTGCTACAGCACTCTGTTTCTGCTCTACGATTTGACGACATTAGCCCCCGAAGACCTGTCTCGTTGCGACGTCCAAAATGGCCCAACGGCCAACTCTGCTCGACTTGCGCTCCAAGTCGAGCTCCTCCAACATGACTAGCGCTTCGAGACCCCTTCGGTCGCCTCGCCTTCATGTCGCTGGCGAGATCCCTCCCGAGCTCTCGCCCCTCGATGCCTTCGCCCTCCAGAGTCGCCTGCTCGCGCGCCAATTGAAAGAGAGCGACAACGCTGGTCGACGGATGAGCCGCTTGCCTCCCCTCACCACCGAAAGCCCACTCGTCATGCAAGGTCGCTCGGACTACTTCCGTTCCATGTCCCAGGATGGCATGTCAGAAGCCAGCCAGTCGCCTGAACCGCTGGATAGAGGGCTTGGCTTGATGCCAGAAGTGGAAGAAAACCTACAGCGACCCATGTCGATGCACCCGCGCATGAGCCGCATTCCCCCGACTCCCGACGATGGCGTACCGCTGCCGCCACAGCCTATGCTCGACCAAACCCGTGGACGAACGCTGAATCACATTCGAGAAGACTCGACGAATTTTGGGGCCAGGAGGGAAGAGTCACCGACGCCGATGGAGTCCGCGCAAATGGACGAGCCGCCAAGCTCTGTAGTGCCATCGCCGCGCAAAGACACGGCCGCATCGCTCCCGATGCCATCCCCATCCAACTCTCTGGTCGCTTCGCCTGAAAAGATGCCAAAGAAGCACTCCTTCGATGGACCAGGTCTAGCGCCACCGCGACCCATGTTTGTCAAGCGGCCTTCAGCATCCAGCACCATGTCTTCTCCTCTAGTACCCACTGACGAAGATGGTGTCATGAGCTCCTCCTTTCATTCGCTGCCACATCGCAAGCTGTCCAGCGGCAGTGCCATGTCTAGTATGGCCGCCATCTCTCCGGCCGTCACCTCTTCACACTACCAAAGATCACCGTCTATCAGCTCTGACATTTCTGTTGCGCTACCACGGCCATCTTTCAACTTTTCGAGGCCACTGAGTCGAGCAGGAACTCCTGGTCCTGAGACACCATCGCGTCAGGCCTCGTCAGACACTCAGGCATCTTTTGTCTTGGCAGATGACACGGCGAATACGCCGATCAGCATGAATAGCGAAGGCTTCCCGGATACCCTAACTGATGACGGTAAATCTGCAGCAACGTCATACATTTATTCCAAATACACACTTCCGAGAGGCAAGAGTGTTCAAAGGTCGCTGCCACTCGAAAGTCAGCCTCCGGCATCCTTACGGTGGGAGCAGTCGACTACGCGCTCTGACAACGGACAGTCAACTCTGAGAGGCGCACCTCCGTCACCGCCTACTCGACCATCGAGCTCGTCAGAGAGGATGATGCCGGATCATGTGAGCCTGGCGAAACACTCTGTTGAGCAAGGCAAGAGAAGCATGGAGCGCAATGCACTTCGCCTACAGCCGTCGCCGAACCCAAGTCGACCATCAACTGAGAGCAGCCGCGCCTCTGAGGACGAGACCAGGGGCCGCCCCTTGACCTCCCCTATGCATGACAGTGCCAGATTAAAGACGGCCATCTCAGTCGCCACTTCTGACTCGGCTAGTACCGTCAAGCCGGCGAAGTCTTTGCATTCGATTGCTCCCTCGGCCGCGGATATGACGGCTGAAGAACATCTCGCCAAAGGTATTGAGTGTCATGAAAATGGATCCGTCAATGAGTCCACCTACCACCTCCGACACGCCGCTAAACAGAATCATCCTACGGGCATGCTTCTGTATGCCCTCGCTTGCAGGCACGGATGGGGCATGCGCCCAAACCAACGGGAGGGAGTGGAATGGTTGAGAAAGGCCTCTGAACTCGTTAGCAATGAAATCGCAGACGATGAAGGCCAAGTCAAGCAAGGCAAGCATGTCGATGTACTGGACAGAAAGACTCGGAAAGCTCAATTCGCTCTTGCCGTGTACGAACTTGGCGTCAGTCATATGAACGGCTGGGGCATCGAGCAAGATAAAGTTCTAGCGCTCAGATGCTTCGAAATCGCTGGATGTGAGTAATTCGCCTTTGTGGTGCAAATTCGACATACTGATGGATTTATAGCCTGGGGTGATCTTGACGCATTGGCGGAGGCTGGCTACTGCTATGCGCAAGGCGTTGGGTGCAAAAAAGATTTAAAGAAGGCCGCCAAGTTTTACAGGGAGGCCGAGTCCAAAGGGATGAGCATGGTGGGAAACAGCTGGTATGTGAATCGAGTAGTGCTGCAAGGGATACATCTTATTGATCTGACATTTCGCAGGATTCACAAGTCGAAATATAACGATGACAGCAAAGAACTGAAAAAAGTTCGTAGCAAGTCAAGAACGCGCAATATTTTCGGCATCAAGACGGGTGGCTCATGAGCTCCGCCGTCACTGCGCAAATCTTAGTGCAGCCGAAAAGCCCGCCATTTAACGGATCACGAGGAATCAACATCGACATAACCATTACCATCATACCCAGCATCTAAGGAGTTTTCAGGCGTCAGTCGCCTGCGGCAGGCTGTCGACATTTGGAGTTATATGTCTGGCGGTTGGGAGCTTTGATCCGCCGTCATTATTGTCTTTATCAAGGACATACACTAAACGAGCAAAATCACGGACCCCGTCGCTGTTGCGGACCATGTGCGACTCTAGCGAGGGCTCCTGGTCTCTGTCTGTTCAGCGTTCTATTTCCTGCGTTCCTCTTGCTAAACTACTTCGTCATCAAACATACCCCTTTTTTTCTTCCCTGTAGATGGACCATTTGAACTACATTTTGGGGAGGCTAGTGCTCATTCACCTCCGCGTTCTGCACAAAGGATTATTAGGAAACAGGCAAACGCCAGGCAAACGCCGAAGGTAACTAGTAATCCATATATGCCAATGATTCGTATAAGATCTCTTTGTTGTACCCTCGCATGCGAATAAGCAAACGACAGCCTCCCCATGCTGCTTTGGCGTGAGGCTTGAATTGAAACCCCGGCCCTTGGCAGATGTGGTTGCCTCCACAAATCTTGCCGGCGTACTAAGTTCCTTACACTCATAAACTAGCGGGGCACTTCAAGTTTGTTTATCCTAATTATTGCACTAATCGACCGCTTGATCACTTGCTTGCACAGTGCAGGCCTTGGAAACAGCCCAGACAGGGTTACACTGCTACTGGTCTCGATGCTTCCAGAGAGAGAGCAGGTAGGCTTCGTCTTGCTCTAGCAGACGACGGCAACACTAGGTTTCGAAAATAGAACGAGCGCATGCACTCAGAGTGGGTCTTGCTTTTAAACGGTCATACCTCGAGTAGATTGTCACACAGCAACCATGCATCTCAAATCACGCCTCTATTGCTGCAATTCTCATGTTCGTACAGTATAAGTATGATCTTTGATCCGCATTGCATCATTGCCCCTAAGAATCGACCTCCATAGCCTCGCCGGTGGATGTCACCTCGGTGACGCTGACGTAGCGGCCGATCTCGTTTTTCTTGATGATTTTCTCGTTGAACACAGCGGTCGTTGCCTTGGGGAAAACGTAGCTCTTTAGCTTTGGCTCCGCTCGTTGGGCTTGACGAAGCCGCGCTTCAGCTCTGTCTTGTCCTGGGTGATGATGGCCACGTCAACGTTGCTGCCGGAGCCGAGATCGTTGAAGATACCGGCGAAGATGGCGTCACTGGCGAGCTTGACAGCCTCGTCGCGGGTGAGATTGGCCTTCCACTGCGTCTCGAAGACGGACATTGCGGCAAGGGAGCCGGAGCCCATGGTGACGTAGGGGAGCTTGTCGGTGGAGCCGTGGGCGTGGACGGTGAACAGGTGGGTGCCTGTTGGTCGCA